TCGGAGCGCATGTGTGGCTCTGCACCCTTAGCAGCGTTGCTAACTCCTCAGTAAGGAAAGCCTGCTTCATGTCAGAGTCTCTAAACTCCAGAGGAAGTCGATAAAATTCCCTTTCTTTCTAAAAAAAAGTCGTTAGGGGGTCTGAAAAGTCATTGAATCTAACAACAAAGTCGCTAGGTTTGCAACTATGTTTCCCAGACTGCATCCCTGCTGAGAGTTCCTCCCTCCCTTCTCATATTGCAGGAAGAACGTAAGCGCCCGCCCCTTGTCAATCAGTCACCATATAATTTTGGATTGGTTGTTGTGGTGAAGTTTTCCACCAATAGGAGAGATGTTGTGGTGTGTTTTTTTTTTCTTTTGGCATGCCTTTTCCGCCTGTAAGAGCTGTCGCTAATGTCTGCATGCTATGTTTTCCTGTCTCATACAGCGTGATCGAGCGCCGAACGTGATCAAAATAAGCAGAAAAAAAGTATCGCGGACATAATTTATCATAACTCTGGTTTTATTTGGCCTATCAACACAATTTAAAAACTGGTATATAGTTTGAGGTCCTCACTTTTGAGATAAGTTGAAACGGAGGGTGAACGAGGCTCCGTCTTGCAGCTACATCCGGTTAAATATGTCATGTGACTTGAACGCTGGGGAGCGTCAATCGACTGCAGAGCCAGCAGACAAAGTAGTTATGCCACTGAGAGGCACACATTTGTCATATGCTATAATCCTAACATATTTTAATGCTTTTTCTATTTAAACCTAATGGATCTAAGGTTTGACCTTCAAAATTTAGGAAGAATATTTTTTTGCAGTAATGACCCCCTTAAACAACCAGAGGTCCTTTCCTAAAGTTTATGGAAATTTAAGTGAAGGCCTTGGTTTCTTTCCTTGCAAAATGTATAGAAATAATAAAGCTAAATACCATAAAATGGTCTTGGCGTATTAGCAGTGATATAAAATAGTGGTTTGAATATGAATGAACAACAAAAAAAAACATCAACAGAGCCTTTTTGAGTTGGGATTCTTTCATTATCACACAAAAACAGACATAGACAGACATCTAAAGGGTAAGGGAATGATCAGCCCTCCTAACTCTCAGATGAATCTTCAAAATTCACCGCAGAAATATGCTTATTATTCTTCTCAGAGTACTGCAAGATATATACACACACACAGACACAGACACACACACACACACACACACACACACACACACACACACACACACACACACACTCAGAGTCTGGTTTTTAGCACCTGCAAAAACATGCTATTTACATATTTGTCAAGAATGCAGAGGCTCCTTTTGCCCCTGAAAAAAATCAAATTTCAAACACAACTTGACTGCTCATTTCTCCAAAAGACAACCATGAAGCTCCATCCAAACCTGAAGCAGGCAGTTGGTGCATGTGTACAGTAACCTGAGGGGAGTGAGGTGAGTGCTTCTGAGGAGAACATGAGCAGTGAAGATTCACCTTGGAGCTAGAACAGGGACGTGCACATGATTATACAGGGGCAGGGGCTCAAGTTTTTTCCAGTCATTTATACAATATGGAAATTAATGTGAAATTAAAAAACAAAGTATTAATAGAAAGGTAATGACTGTCCTGTGTAGATGATAGTGATATCCAATAGGCTAGGCACTCACGAGGCTGGCTGTGGCAAGTGTAAGTGAAAGCAACACGCACTGGCAGGAAGAACAGCAAACGCCGATGAAGGAAAAGGGTCTTTGCAGTGATGGGCGTTACCAGAGAGGGCGATGGCCAGAGGACACGAATGGGACGGGGAGGCAGCGCGTTTGGGGGGGGCGGCGCGACACGGCTCGGGCCCGCCAGTGCCCCAACGGGGCCCTAGTTTCTTCTTTTTCCTCCCCTTTGAACTGGAAAATGGCCCACTTCCCACTGGCGAAAACTCAGGAAATTTGGCAGGACGACCGGGCCTGGTGAAAAATTCGATATTCTGAAGTCGCCCAAACAATAAAATGCAAAATGGCTCCATAGCGCCCCCTAAGGTGGAAATTCACACTATTGACTGTCACGCCTGTACGCTTTGTCATATTGACACAAAAATTGACACACATATGTATCTCAATAAGATCTACAAAAAAGTCAGTGCGGCCGTATCTGTCAAAATTACGGTTAAAGGGTTATTTCGCATTTTTTGCCGATCCGCACACATTGGAATTTCGCTAACTCCTCCGAAGGCTTTCGTTCCACCGGCACCACATTTGCTCAGGCCAATCTACACCCCGTGGCCATTAAAAGTTATCAAAATCATGACGCTGCACCCCAAGGTTTAGGTTCTAGGGGGCGCCAAAGATAACACTAAAATCCACATATTTAAAAGTCTTATAACTTTTTATTTTTGTCCTCACTGGCCTCCAAGTTTTCTAGGATGATGCAATGTCCAGCCATCAACACATTTGTGAAGGAATTTTTACTCCCCAAAAGAGCGCCCCCCCATGGCAGGAGAAAAAAGTCCATTTTTTCTTGTCCCCTAAGGTGAAAATACACATTGTTGAGTGTCACGCCTATACGCTTTGTCAAAATGACACAAAAATTGACACACACATGTAACTCAATAAGATCTACGAAAAAGTCAATGCGTGCGTATCTGTCAAATGTACGGTTAAAGGGTTATTGCGCATTTTTTGCCGATCCGCATACATTGGAATGTGGCTAACTCCTCCTAAGGCTTTCGTTCCACCGGCACCACATTTGCTCAGGCCAATCTACACCCCATGGCCATTAAAAGTTATTCAAATCATGACGCTGCACCCCACGGTTTAGGTTCTAGGGGGCGCCAAAGATAACCCTAAAATCCACATATTTAAAAGTCTTATAACTTTTTATTTTTGTCCTCACTGGCCTCCAAGTTTTCTAGGATGATGCAATGTCCAGCCATCAACACATTTGTGAAGGAATTTTTACTCCCCAAAAGAGCGCCCCCCCATGGCAGGAGAAAAAAGTCCATTTTTTCTTGTCCCCTAAGGTGAAAATACATATTGTTGAGATTCACGCCTATACGCTTTGTCATATTGACACAAAATTTGACAATCACGTGCCTTGCCTGGTATCATTTTTTTCAGCACAACCTCACCTGTGCGAATTTACAGTTATTTTATCATGTTGACATACTGAATTTACACAATGGACCCAAATTCACACACAAAACATAAAATCCGAGTGGAAAAAAGTAACATTTTTACTGTGAAAACCACAAATATGTGTGATGAACTGTTTTTAAAACTTAAACTTCAAATAAAAATTGTAAACTTCAAAACATATGCAAATTTTTAACAAAGAACATAGTGATTTACCTCTATTTACATCAAAATGCAGGCAATGGCCCAGGCGTTCTTTGTAAAATTATTTACAAAACACTGTATAGTCTCACAAATGTCACTTTTTATGTATGCCACTACAAAAAAACATGATGTAAATGATGCATGATGTAAAACATGATGTAAAAAACTTGTGTAGATCCTCCTCTATGTCAGTCCATGTGTAATTTTTCCATAATTCTTTGTTTTTTGCAGCATTTTTGTTAGTGTAACTGCAGATTGTGCTGACAGTGTCTATGGCACAAAAAAAAAAAAAAATTAAAATGCCTCAACATGAACCCCTGGTGGTCTCTGAGGGTGAAACCTGCTAACTGCTGCAGCTCTGTCAGCTTCAGTCTCCCATGCAGAGCTCTGAGCGCATGTGTGGCTCTGCACCCTTAGCAGCGTTGCTAACTCCTCAGTAAGGAAAGCCTGCTTCATGTCAGAGTCTCTAAACTCCAGAAGAAGTCGATAAAAGTCCCTTTCTTTCTAAAAAAAAGTCGTTAGGGGGTCTGAAAAGTCATTGAATCTAACAACAAAGTCGCTAGGTTTGCAACTACGTGTCCCAGACTGCATCCCTGCTGAGAGTCCCTCCCTCCCTTCTCATGTTGCAGGAAGAACGTAAGCGCCCGCCCCTTGTCAATCAGTCACCATATAATTTTGGATTGGTTGTTGTGGTGAAGTTTTCCACCAATAGGAGAGATGTTGTGGTGTGTTTTTTTTTTCTTTTGGCAAGCCTTTTCCGCCTGTAAGACCTGTCGCTAATGTCTGCATGCTATGTTTTCCTGTCTCATACAGCGCGATCGAGCGCCGAACGTGACCAAAATAAGCAGAAAAAAAGTATCGCGGACATAATTTATCATAACTCTGGTTTTATTTGGCCTATCAACACAATTTAAAAACTGGTATATAGGTTGAGGTCCTCACTTTTGAGATAAGTTGAAACGGAGAGTCAACGAGGCTCCGTCTTGCAGCTACATCCGGTTAAATATGTCATGTGACTTGAACGCACACACAGACACACACACACGCACACACGCACACACACACACACACACACTCAGAGTCTGGTTTTTAGCACCTGCAAAAACATGCTATTTACATATTTGACAAGAATGCAGAGGCTTCTTTTGCCCCTGAAAAAAATCAAATTTCAAACACAACTTGACTGGTCATTTCTCCAAAAGACAACCATGAAGCTCCATCCAAACCTGAAGCAGGCAGTTGGTGCATGTGTACAGTAACCTGAGGGGAGTGAGGTGAGTGCTTCTGAGGAGAACATGAGCAGTGAAGATTCACCTTGGAGCTAGAACAGAGACATGCACATGATTATACAGGGGCAGGGGCTCAAGTTTTTTCCAGTCGTTTATACAATATGGAAATTAATGTGAAATTAAAACACAAAGTATTAATAGAAAGGTAATGACTGTCCTGTGTAGGTGACAGTGATATCCAATAGGCTAGGCACTCACGAGGCTGGCTGTGGCAAGTGTAAGTGAAAGCAACACGCACTGGCAGGAAGAACAGCAAACGCCGATGAAGGAAAAGGGTCTTTGCAGTGATGGGCGTTACCAGAGAGGGCGATGGCCAGAGGACACAAATGGGACGGGGAGGCAGCACGTTGGGGGGGGGACGCGACACGGCTCGGGCCCGCCAGTGCCCCAACGGGGTCCTAGTTAGGGCCCGAGCGTAGCTGCTAAGCAGCTGCGAGAGCCCTATTATTCCCCAAGGGGTTTTTCTTTGTTTCTTTTTTTCTTTTTCCTCCCCTTTGAACTGGAAAATGGCCCACTTCCCACTGGCGAAAACTCATGAAATTTGGCAGGACGACCGGGCCTGGTGAAAAATTTGATATTCCGAAGTCGCCCAAACAAGAAAATGCAAAATGGCTCCATAGCGCCCCCTAAGGTGAAAATTCACACTATTGAGTGTCACGCCTGTACGCTTTGTCAAAATGACACAAAATTTGACACACACATGTATCTCAATAACATCTACAAAAAAGTCAGTGCGGGCGTATCTGTCAAATGTACGGTTAAAGGGTTATTTCGCATTTTTTGCCGATCCGCACACATTGGAATTTCGCTAACTCCTTTGAAGGCTTTCGTTCCACCGGCACCACATTTGCTCAGGCCAATCTACACCCCATGGCCATTAAAAGTTATTCAAATCATGACGCTGCACCCCACGGTTTAGGTTCTAGGGGGCGCCAAAGATAACCCTAAAATCCACATATTTAAAAGTCTTATAACTTTTTATTTTTGCCCTCACTGGCCTCCAAGTTTTCTAGGATGATGCAATGTCCAGCCATCAACACATTTGTGAAGGAATTTTTACTCCCCAAAAGAGCGCCCCCCCATGGCAGGAGAAAAAAGTCCATTTTTTCTTGTCCCCTAAGGTGAAAATACACATTGTTGAGTGTCACGCCTGTACGCTTTGTCAAAATGACACAAAAATTGACACACACATGTATCTCAATAAGATCTACAAAAAAGTCCATGCGCGCGTATCTGTCAAATGTACGGTTAAAGGGTTATTCCGCATTTTTTGCCGATTCGCACACATTGGAATTTCGCTAACTCCTCCGAAGGCTTTCGTTCCACCGGCACCACATTTGCTCAGGCCAATCTACACCCCATGGCCATTAAAAGTTATTCAAATCATGACGCTGCACCCCACGGTTTACGTTCTAGGGGGCGCCAAAGATAACCCAAAAATCCACATTTTTAAAAGTCTTATAACTTTTTATTTTTGTCCTCACTGGCCTCCAAGTTTTCTAGGATGATGCAATGTCCAGCCATCAACACATTTGTGAAGGAATTTTTACTCCCTAAAAGAGCGCCCCCCCATGGCAGGAGAAAAAAGTCCATTTTTTCTTGTCCCCTAAGGTGAAAATACACATTGTTGACTGTCACGCCTGTACGCTTTGTCAAAATGACACAAAAATTGACAATCATGTGTATCTCAATTAGATCTACGAAAAAGTCAAAGAGCGCGTATCTGTATAATGTACGGTAAAAGGGCTATTTTGCATTTTTTGCCGATTCGCACACATTGGAATTTCGCTAACTCCTCCTAAGGCTTTCGTCCCACTGACACCAAATTTGCTCAGGCCAATCTACACTCCATGGCCATTCAAAGTTGTAAAAATCATGACGCTGCACCCCACGGTTTACGTTTTAGGGGGCGCCAAAGATGACCCAAATATACATTACAGTAGACAAAGTAGTTTTGCCCACTGAGTGGCGCCAAAGGGACTTGTCTGTGGAGTCTGTGAGTCACTATTGGCCGTTTTTGACTACTTTAGATTTTACCTTTATATTTCCTCTTACAAAATTTTTACCTTGCCTTGCCTGGTATCATTTTTTTCAGCACAACCTCACCTGTGTCAATTTACAGTTATTTTATCATTTTGACATACTATATTTACACATTGGACCCAAATTCACACACAAAACATAAAATCCGAGTGGAAAAAAGTAACGTTTTTACTGTGAAAACCACAAATATGTGTGATGAACTGTTTTTAAAACTTAAACTTCAAATTAAAATTGTAAACTTCAAAACATATGCAAATTTTTAACAAAGAACATAGTAATTTACCTCTATTTACATCAAAATGCAGGCAATGGCCCAGGTGTTCTTTGTAAAATTATTTACAAAACACTGTATAGTCTCACAAATGTCACTTTTTATTTATGCCACTACAAAAAAACATGATGTAAATGATGCATGATGTAAAACATGATGTAAAAAACTTGTGTAGATCCTCCTCTATGTTAGTCCATGTGTAATTTTTCCATAATTCTTTGTTTTTTGCAGCATTTTTGTTAGTGTAACTGCAGATTGTGCTGACAGTGTCTATGGCAAAAAAAAAAAAAAAACTGAAAATGCCTCAACATGAACCCCTGGTGGTCTCTGAGGGTGAAACCTGCTAACTGCTGCAGCTCTGTCAGCTTCAGTCTCCCATGCAGAGCTCGGAGCGCATGTGTGGCTCTGCACCCTTAGCAGCGTTGCTAACTCCTCAGTAAGGAAAGCCTGCTTCATGTCAGAGTCTCTAAACTCCAGAAGAAGTCGATAAAAGTCACTTTCTTTCTAAAAAAAAAGTTGTTAGGGGGTCTGAAAAGTCATTGAATCTAACAACAAAGTCGCTAGGTTTGCAACTACGTGTCCCAGACTGCATCCCTGCTGAGAGTCCCTCCCTCCCTTCTCATATTGCAGGAAGAACGTAAGCGCCCGCCCCTTGTCAATCAGTCACCATATAATTTTGGATTGGTTGTTGTGGTGAAGTTTTCCACCAATAGGAGAGATGTTGTGGTGTGTTTTTTTTTTCCTTTGGCAAGCCTTTTCCGCCTGTAAGACCTGTCGCTAATGTCTGCATGCTATGTTTTCCTGTCTCATACAGCGCGATCGAGCGCCGAACGTGATCAAAATAAGCAGAAAACAAGTATCGCGGACATAATTTATCATAACTCTGGTTTTATTTGGCCTATCAACACAATTTAAAAACTGGTATATAGGTTGAGGTCCTCACTTTTGAGATAAGTTGAAACGGAGTCAACGAGGCTCCGTCTTGCAGCTACATCCGGTTAAATATGTCATGTGACTTGAACGCACACACACACACACACACACACACACACACACGCACACACACACACTCAGAGTCTGGTTTTTAGCACCTGCAAAAACATGCTATTTACATATTTGACAAGAATGCAGAGGCTCCTTTTGCCCCTGAAAAAAATCAAATTTCAAACACAACTTGACTGGTCATTTCTCCAAAAGACAACCATGAAGCTCCATCCAAACCTGAAGCAGGCAGTTGGTGCATGTGTACAGTAACCTGAGGGGAGTGAGGTGACTGCTTCTGAGGAGAACATGAGCAGTGAAGATTCACCTTAGAGCTAGAACAGAGACGTGCACATGATTATACAGGGGCAGGGGCTCAAGTTTTTTCCAGTTGTTTATACAATATGGAAATTAATGTGAAATTAAAAAACAAAGTATTAATAGAAAGGTAATGACTGTCCTGAGTAGGTGACAGTGATATCCAATAGGCTAGGCACTCAAGAGGCTGGCTGTGGCAAGTGTAAGTGAAAGCAACACGCACTGGCAGGAAGAACAGCAAACGCCGATGAAGGAAAAGGGTCTTTGCAGTGATGGGCGTTACCAGAGAGGGCGATGGCCAGAGGACACAAATGGGACGGGGAGGCAGCGCGTTGGGGGGGGACGCGACACAGCTCGGGCCCGCCAGTGCCCCAACGGGGTCCTAGTTAGGGCCCGAGCATAGCTGCTAAGCAGCTGCGAGAGCCCTCTTGTTCCTGATGGATTCTTCTTTCGTTATTTTTCCTCCGCTTTAAACTGGAAAATGGCCCACTTCCCACTGGCGAAAACTCAGGAAATTTGGCAGGACGACCGGGCCTGGTGAAAAATTCGATATTCTGAAGTCGCCCAAACAAAAAAATGAAAAATGGCTCCATAGCGCCCCCTATGGTGAAAACTCACCTGACGCCTGTACGCTTTGTCAAAATGACACAAAATTTGACACACATGTGTATCTCAATAAGATCTACAAAAAAGTCAGTGCGGGCGTATCTGTCAAATGTACGGTTAAAGGGCTATTTCGCATTTTTTGCCGATCCGCACACATTGGAATTTCGCTAACTCCTCCGAAGGCTTTCGTTCCACCGGCAACAAATTTGCTCAGGACAATCTACACCCCATGGCCATTAAAAGTTGTACAAATCATGACGCTGCACCCCACGGTTTAGGTTCTAGGGGGCGCCAAAGATAACCCAAAAATCCACAGTCTTAAAAGTCTTATAACTTTTTATTTTTGTCCTCACTGGCCTCCAAGTTTTCTAGGATGATGCAATGTCCAGCCATCAACACATTTGTGAAGAAATTTTTACTCCCCAAAAGAGCGCCCCCCCATGGCAGGAGAAAAAAGTCCATTTTTTCTTGTCCCCTAAGGTGAAAATACACATTGTTGAGTGTCATGCCTGAACGCTTTGTCATATTGACACAAAATTTGACACACACGTGTATCTCAATAAGATCTACGAAAAAGTCAAAGAGCGCGTATGTGTATAATGTACGGTTAAAGGGCTATTTCGCATTTTTTGCCGATCCGCACACATTGGAATTTCGCTAACTCCTCCGAAGGCTTTCGTTCCACCGGCAACAAATTTGCTCAGGACAATCTACACCCCATGGCCATTCAAAGTTGTACAAATCATGACGCTGCACCCCACGGTTTAGGTTCTAGGGGGCGCCAAAGATAACCCAAAAATCCACAGTCTTAAAAGTCTTATAACTTTTTATTTTTGTCCTCACTGGCCTCCAAGTTTTCTAGGATGATGCAATGTCCAGCCATCAACACATTTGTGAAGGAATTTTTACTCCCCAAAAGAGCGCCCCCCCATGGCAGGAGAAAAAAGTCCATTTTTTCTTGTCCCATAAGGTGAAAATACACATTGTTGAGTGTCACGCCTGTACGCTTTGTCAAAATGACACAAAATTTGACAATCACGTGTATCTCAATAAGATCTATGAAAAAGTCATGCGCAAATATCTGTAAAATGTACGGTTAAAGGGCTATTTTGCATTTTTTGCCGATTCGCACACATTGGAATGTGGCTAACTCCTCCTAAGGCTTTCGTCCCACTGACACCAAATTTGCTCAGGCCAATCTACACCCCATGGCCATTCAAAGTTGTAAAAATCATGACGCTGCACCCCACGGTTTACGTTCTAGGGGGTGCCAAAGATGACCCAAATATCCACATTCTTAAAAGAATCCACACCCCCCCCCCTCCCCCCATGGCAGGAGAAAAAGTCAAGTTTTTCCTGCCCATCGCTCAATGGCTCAATCGCATCGCTCTCTCGGCAAAAGCGAAAGGAGGAGCAACTTGCCATTTGGATATATCCTAGCTGTGTTTGTGCCCTCACTCATGGTCCAGTCCTTTTCAAATAGGACATGGAGTTTGTCTGCGGCGAGCGTTTTGGTAGAAACTGCGCCTCCCATTCATTATAATTGTAAATGACCACAGACAAGTGCGCACACCATCTTTGGACCTTGAGTGTGACGCGATCGGTAGGGAGAGGCGGTCGTGTTGGGGGCAGCGCGACACGGCTCGGGCCCGCCAGTGCCCCAACGGGGCCCTAGTCTTATTATTTTTCTGCCCCTTTGAACTGGAAAATGGCCCACTTCCCACTGGTGAAAACTCATGAAATTTGGCAGGACGACCGGGCCTGGTGAAAAATTCGATATTCTGAAGTCGCCCAAACAATCAAATGCAAAATGGCTCCATAGCGCCCCCTAAGGTGAAAAATTCACATGATTGAGTGTCACACCTGTACGCTTTGTCAAAATGACACAAAATTTGACACACACGTGTATCTCAATAAGATCTACAAAAAAGTCAGCGCGGGCGTATCTGTCAAATGTACGGTTAAAGGGCTATTTCGCATTTTTTGCCGATCCGCACACAGTGGAATTTCGCTAACTCCTCCGAAGGCTTTCGTTCCACCGGCACCACATTTGCTCAGGCCAATCTACACCCCATGGCCATTAAAAGTTGTACAAATCATGACACTGCACCCCACGGTTTACGTTCTAGGGGGCGCCAAAGATAACCCAAAAATCCACATTCTTAAAAGTCTAATAACTTTTTATTTTTGTCCTCACTGGCCTCCAAGTTTTCTAGGATGATGCAATGTCCAGCCATCAACACATTTGTGAAGGAATTTTTACTCCCCAAAAGAGCGCCCCCCCATGGCAGGAGAAAAAAGTCCATTTTTTCTTGTCCCCTAAGGTGAAAATACATATTGTTGAGTGTCACGCCTATACGCTTTGTCATATTGACATAAAATTTGACACACACGTGTATCTCAATAAGATCTACAAAAAAGTCTATGCGCACGTATCTGTCAAATGTACGGTTAAAGGGCTATTTCGCATTTTTTGCGGAACCGCACACATTGGAATTTCGCTAACTCCTCTGAAGGCTTTCGTTCCACCGGCACCAAATTTGCTCAGGCCAATCTACACCCCATGGCCATTAAAAGTTGTACAAATCATGACGCTGCACCCCACGGTTTACGTTCTAGGGGGCGCCAAAGATAACCCAAAAATCCACAGTCTTAAAAGTCTTATAACTTTTTATTTTTGTCCTCACTGGCCTCCAAGTTTTCTAGGATGATGCAATGTCCAGCCATCAACACATTTGTGAAGGAATTTTTACTCCCCAAAAGAGCGCCCCCCCATGGCAGGAGAAAAAAGTCCATTTTTTCTTGTCCCATAAGGTGAAAATACACATTGTTGAGTGTCACGCCTGTACGCTTTGTCATATTGAAACAAAATTTGACAATCACGTGTATCTCAATAAGATCTACGAAAAAGTCAATGCGCACGTATCTGTAAAATGTACGGTTAAAGGGCTATTACGCATTTTTGATCGATTCGCACACATTGGAATGTGGCTAACTCCTCCTAAAGCTTTCGTTCCACCGGCACCACATTTGCTCAGGCCAATCTACACCCCATGGCCATTAAAAGTTGTACAAATCATGACGCTGCACCCCACGGTTTACGTTCTAGGGGGCGCCAAAGATAACCCAAAAATCCACATTCTTAAAAGTCTTATAACTTTTCATTTTTGTCCTCACTGGCTTCCAAGTTTTCTAGGATGATGCAATGTCTAGCCATCAACACATTTGTGAAGGAATTTTTACTCCCCAAAAGAGCGCCCCCCCATGGCAGGAGAAAAAGTCAAGTTTTTCCTGCCCATCGCTCAATGGCTCAAACACATGTCATGTGTTCAAACTCCTCCGAAAGGAGGAGCAACTTGCCATTTGGATATATCCTAGCTGTGTTTGTGCCCTCACTCATGGATCAGACTTTTTTCAAATAGGACATGTAGTTTGTCTGCAGCGAGTGTTTTGGTAGAAACTGCGCCTTCCATTCATTATAATGGGAAATGACCACAGACAAGTGCGCACACCATCTTTGGACCTTGAGTGTGACGCGATCGGGCGGGGGAGGCGGTCGCGCTGGGGGCGGCGCAACGCGGCTCGGGCCCGACAGTGCCCCACCGGGGCCCTAGTTAGGGCCCGAGCGTAGCTGCTAAGCAGCTGCGAGAGCCCTATTATTCCCCAAGTGGTTTTTCTTTGTTTCTTTTTTCTTTTTCCTCCCCTTTGAACTGGAAAATGGCCCACTTCCCACTGGCGAAAACTCATGAAATTTGGCAGGACGACCGGGCCTGGTGAAAAATTTGATATTCTGAAGTCGCCCAAACAATACAATGCAAAATGGCTCCATAGCGCCCCCTAAGGTGAAAAATTCACCTGACGCCTGTACGCTTTGTCAAAATGACACAAAAATTGACACACACATGTATCTCAATAAGATCTACAAAAAAGTCAGTGCGGGCGTATCTGTCAAATGTACGGTTAAAGGGTTATTGCGCATTTTTTGCCGATCCGCACACATTGGAATTTCGCTAACTCCTCCGAAGGCTTTCGTTCCACCGGCACCACATTTGCTCAGGCCAATCTACACCCCATGGCCATTAAAAGTTATTCAAATCATGACGCTGCACCCCACGGTTTAGGTTCTAGGGGGCGCCAAAGATAACCCTAAAATCCACATATTTCAAAGTCTTATAACTTTTTATTTTTGCCCTCACTGGCCTCCAAGTTTTCTAGGATGATGCAATGTCCAGCCATCAACACATTTGTGAAGGAATTTTTACTCCCCAAAAGAGCGCCCCCCCATGGCAGGAGAAAAAAGTCCATTTTTTCTTGTCCCATAAGGTGAAAATTCACACTATTGACTGTCACGCCTGTACGCTTTGTCAAAATTACACAAAAATTGACACACACATGTATCTCAATAAGATCTACAAAAAAGTCAATGCGCGCGTATCTGTCAAATGTACAGTTAAAGGGTTATTCCGCATTTTTTGCCGATACGCACACATTGGAATTTCGCTAACTCCTCCGAAGGCTTTCGTTCCACCGGCACCACATTTGCTCAGGCCAATCTACACCCCATGGCCATTAAAAGTTATTCAAATCATGATGCTGCACCCCATGGTTTAGGTTCTAGGGGGCGCCAAAAATAACCCAAAAATCCACATTCTTAAATGTTTTATAACTTTTTATTTTTGTCCTCACTGGCCTCCAAGTTTTCTAGGATGATGCAATGTCCAGCCATCAACACATTTGTGAAGGAATTTTTACTCCCCAAAAGAGCGCCCCCCCATGGTAGGAGAAAAAAGTCAATTTTTTCTTGTCCCCTTACATGAAAATACACATTGTTGAGTGTCACGCCTGAACGCTTTGTCATATTGACACAAAAATTGACAATCATGTGTATCTCAATTAGATCTACGAAAAAGTCAAAGAGCGCGTATCTTTATAATGTACGGTTAAAGGGCTATTTTGCATTTTTGCCGATTCGCACACATTGTAATGTGGCTATCTCCTCCTAAGGCTTTCGTCCCACCGATACCAAATTTGCTCAGGGCAATCTACACCCCATGCCCATTCAAAGTTGTAAAAATCATGACGCTGCACCCCACGGTTTACGTTCTAGGGGGCGCCAAAGATGACCCAAAAATCCACATTCTTAAAAGTCATTTTGGCCACTGCAGGAGTACAGTACTGCAGTTCTAGGGGGCGCCAAAGATGACCCAAAAATCCACATTCTTAAAAGTCTTTTTGGCCACTGCAGGAGTACAGAGTACTGCAGGATACACACACATATACACACACGCCAACATACACACACACACACACACACACAGACACACACACACACACACACTCAGAGTCTGTTTTTTAGCACCTGCAAAAACATGCTGTTTACATATTTGACAAGAATGCAGAGGCTTCCTTTTGCCCCTGAAAAAAATCAAATTTCAAACACAACTTGACTGTTCATTTCTCCAAAAGACAACCATGAAGCTCCATTTCAAACCTGAAGCAGATAGTTGGTGCATGTGTACAGTAACCTGAGGGGAGTGAGGTGACTATTTCTGAGGAGAACATGAGCAGTGAAGATTCACCTTGGAGCTAGAACAGGGACGTGCACATGATTATACAGGGGCAGGGGCTCAAGTTTTTTCCAGTCATTTATACAATATGGAAATTAATGTGAAATTAAACCACAAATATGTGTGATGAACTGTTTTTAAAACTTAAACTTCAAATAAAAATTGTAAACTTCAAAACATATGCAAATTTTTAACAAAGAACATAGTAATTTACCTCTATTTACATCAAAATGCAGGCAATGGCCCAGGCGTTCTTTGTAAAATTATTTACAAAACACTGTATAGTCTCACAAATGTCACTTTTTATTTATGCCACTACAAAAAAACATGATGTAAATGATGCATGATGTAAAACATGATGTAAAAAACTTGTGTAGATCCTCCTCTATGTCAGTCCATGTGTAATTTTTCCATAATTCTTTGTTTTTTGCAGCATTTTTGTTAGTGTAACTGCAGATTGTGCTGACAGTGTCTATGGCACAAAAAAAAAAAAAAATTAAAATGCCTCAACATGAACCCCTGGTGGTCTCTGAGGGTGAAACCTGCTAACTGCTGCAGCTCTGTCAGCTTCAGTCTCCCATGCAGAGCTCTGAGCGCATGTGTGGCTCTGCACCCTTAGCAGCGTTGCTAACTCCTCAGTAAGGAAAGCCTGCTTCATGTCAGAGTCTCTAAACTCCAGAAGAAGTCGATAAAAGTCCCTTTCTTTCTAAAAAAAAGTCGTTAGGGGGTCTGAAAAGTCATTGAATCTAACAACAAAGTCGCTAGGTTTGCAACTACGTGTCCCAGACTGCATCCCTGCTGAGAGTCCCTCCCTCGCTTCTCATGTTGCAGGAAGAACGTAAGCACCCGCCCCTTGTCAATCAGTCACCATATAATTTTGGATTGGTTGTTGTGGTGAAGTTTTCCACCAATAGGAGAGATGTTGTGGTGTGTTTTTTTTTTCTTTTGGCAAGCCTTTTCCGCCTGTAAGACCTGTCGCTAATGTCTGCATGCTATGTTTTCCTGTCTCATACAGCGCGATCGAGCGCCGAACGTGATCAAAATAAGCAGAAAAAAAGTATCGCGGACATAATTTATCATAACTCTGGTTTTATTTGGCCTATCAACACAATTTAAAAACTGGTATATAGGTTGAGGTCCTCACTTTTGAGATAAGTTGAAACGGAGAGTCAACGAGGCTCCGTCTTGCAGCTACATCCGGTTAAATATGTCATGTGACTTGAACGCACACACAGACACACACACACGCACACACACACACACACACACACACACACACACACACTCAGAGTCTGGTTTTTAGCACCTGCAAAAACATGCTATTTACATATTTGACAAGAATGCAGAGGCTCCTTTTGCCCCTGAAAAAAATCAAATTTCAAACACAACTTGACTGGTCATTTCTCCAAAAGACAACCATGAAGCTCCATCCAAACCTGAAGCAGGCAGTTGGTGCATGTGTACAGTAACCTGAGGGGAGTGAGGTGAGTGCTTCTGAGGAGAACATGAGCAGTGAAGATTCACCTTGGAGCTAGAACAGAGACATGCACATGATTATACAGGGGCAGGGGCTCAAGTTTTTTCCAGTCGTTTATACAATATGGAAATTAATGTGAAATTAAAACACAAAGTATTAATAGAAAGGTAATGACTGTTCTGTGTAGGTGACAGTGATATCCAATAGGCTAGGCACTCACGAGGCTGGCTGTGGCAAGTGTAAGTGAAAGCAACACGCACTGGCAGGAAGAAAAGCAAACGCAGATGAAGGAAAAGGGTCTTTGCAGTGATGGGCGTTAACAGAGAGGGCGATGGCCAGAGGACACAAATGGGACGGGGAGGCAGCACGTTGGGGGGGGGGGGGGAGACGCGACACGGCTCGGGCCCGCCAGTGCCCCAACGGGGTCCTAGTTTGTTATTAGGGCCCGAGCGTAGCTGCTAAGCAGCTGCGAGAGCCCTATTATTCCCCAAGGGGTTTTTCTTTGTTTCTTTAGGGCCCGAGCCAGCTGCAGAGCAGCCGGGCGTAGAGCCCTATTATTCCTGTATAGGTTTTTCTTTCTTCTTTCTTTCTTTCTTTCTTCTTATTTTTCCTCCCCTTTGAAGGGGAAAATGGCCCACTTCCCACTGGCGAAAACTCATGAAATTTGGCAGGACGAATGGGCCTGGTGAAAAATTCGATATTCTGAAGTCGCCCAAACAATAAAATGCAAAATGGCTCCATAGCGCCCCCTAAGGTGAAAATTCACACTATTGACTGTCACGCCTTTACGCTTTGTAATATTGACACAAAAATTGACACACACATGTATCTCAATAAGATCTACAAAAAAGTCAGTGCGGGCGTATCTGTCAAATGTACGGTTAAAGGGTTATTTCGCATTTTTTGCCGATCCGCACACATTGGAATTTCGCTAACTCCTCCGAAGGCTTTCGTTCCACCGGCACCACATTTGCTCAGGCCAATCTACACCCCATGGCCATTAAAAGTTGTACAAATCATGACGCTGCACCCCACGGTTTACGTTCTAGGGGGCGCCAAAGATAACCCAAAAATCCACAGTCTTAAAAGTCTTATAACTTTTTATTTTTGTCCTCACTGGCCTCCAAGTTCTCTAGGATGATGCAATGTCCAGCCATCAACACATTTGTGAAGGAATTTTTACTCGCCAAAAGAGCGCCCCCCCATGGCAGGAGAAAAAAGTCCATTTTTTCTTGTCTCCTAAGGCGAAAATTCACACTATTGACTGTCACGCCTTTACGCTTTGTCATATTGACACAAAAATTGACACACACATGTATCTCAATAAGATCTACGAAAAAGTCAATGCGAGCGTATCTGTTCAATGTACGATTAAAGGGCTATTTCGCATTTTTTGCCGATTCGCACACATTGGAATGTGGCTAACTCCTCCTAAATCTTTTGTCCCATCGGCTTCAAATTTGCTCAGGTCAATCTACACCCCATGGCCATTCAAAGTTGTACAAATCATGACGCTGCACCCCACAGTTTACGTTCTAGGGGGCGCCAAAGAGGACCCAAATATCCACATTTTTAAAAGTCTTATAACTTTTTATTTTTGTCCTCACTGGCCTCCAAGTTTTCTAGGATGATGCAATGTCCAGCCATCAACACATTTGTGAAGGAATTTTTACTCCCCAAAAGAGCGCCCCCCCATGGCAGGAGAAAAAGTCAAGTTTTTCCTGCCCATCGCTCAATGGCTCAAACGCATCGCTCTCTCGGCAAAACCGAAAGGAGGAGCAACTTGCCATTTGGATATATACTAGCTGTGTTTGTGCCCTCACT